AAGTGCACAAATAAGATTGTTATAATCTTTGATTAAGAGAAACTTTTGAATAATAACAGTTTTATATAATACAATTTGCAAATGGTTATATATGATGCAACCATTAATTTATTGGTATATTATGACATTTCATAAGCTTAACAATTACTAGCAGCCACCATACAATTGATGCCAGAAAGACAATATTAATAAATATTTGAAGAACTTAAACTAACTTCGTATGATTGAATATTTTCTGGTGATACAATTAATGCTAGCAATATCCTAGTTAATTAATGCTTGACTTAACGAGAGTTCTGCATTCATCTTTATTATGATAGGCGTTGACCTGCTACCATCTGGCATTAAAGTCAATCATGTCAAAAGATTACTTAAATTGCGAATCTGAATGTTGTCTCTAAATGCAATGCTTGTTCATTTAATATCTTGTGCTTCATGTTTGAAATGTCAGTCGCCTGCCTCTGAAGATTGTTTCCCTGGATATTATCTTGGTTTATATATATCTGCTGATGAAGAAATTTAGATGAAATTCCTGAGTTAAAACTACTGAAGATTTATGATGGCATCTTTATGGCAGCTGTAATCATTGAAACTCTTTGAATATCATGCCTTTTGACAAGAAGTGAATTTAATCTATCTGCAGTACGTTCCTTAGTGTAGATAATTCTTCATACTCTTTTCTTGGATTTGACGTTCATAATTATTATCACTGCTTCATTTTTTTTATCTAAGGACAAATGCTTTTAGTCTGCTTTATGCGTATTTTATGTAGGATCCCTTATCATAAGATGCGTAGTTGGATGCTAGTTATGGCTATTGAAACTGTTCTTAAAAATCTCTAAACTGCTCAGCTAACACTTCTATGGGTATTTTGCAGTGATAAATTATGTGTTTTGTACAGGATTCTCATACTTGTGATATCAACCTTGCATTTAATTTCTAGAGCTACTTATTCTATAAACTTAGGATTAGGGTTACTAATGAAATTGAGCCATTCATTCAAAGCCACATGCAGACAAGTGGTTTTGTATATTATACCCATAGTTAAGCAGATAAAGCCCAAAGTTAAATGGAAATTAACTCAAATTTAGGAGGAAATTGAAATGAATACAGATTATTAACAAAGAAACATTAGTATAAACAATCCTAATTTGTACCAGATGATCAATATTGTTTGAAGAATTCTTAAAGTCTAATATTGCAAGGAAATTATTACAATATTTTATAATCTCAATATATATTAGTCACTGTCCTTGGGAAAACATATTCTCAGGTTTTCAACATTTGTGATCATAAAAAATAGTCTGAATTATCAAAATGTCAGCTTATATTCGGTGAAGCTCCAAGCACAGTACTCAGCAGTTGTTGTTTGGTGTAAAATAAAATTCTGAATCATTACATTTATCTTTTTTTAGAATGTTTTTCATTACCCAAAAAGCACTTTATAATTAAGTATAAGCAACAGGATCTTTAAAAATATTATGAAAATTCTCATCATTGGATTAGTTAAGAGTATGTAAATTGAAGAAACCAGAATAGTAACATAGCATATCTGCTGCTTAGCAAGATTATCAAACTGGTATATAAATTAATTAGAACATAATTTTATTGATGTCTCACATAAATATTAATAGGAGGGCAATTATCATGATATTATAAGATATGGCTTTAATACATAAAAGGTGCTCAGCTAGGAAAATAATAATTACATGCAAGATATGAAAATAAAAGCATATAATCAGCTTCAAAAGAGACAGTATAAAAATACCAAAATTGCAGCATCAAATATTGATAATTTAAGCATAGAGTTAAACCTTACACTTACTGAATGCGTTTAATTTATTCTGTAGACATAAAAAATCCATTATTCTTTGACAATACCTGCTCGAATTAAAGTATTAAGTTGAACAGTTAAGTTTAAAGTATAAAGACCTATTGCAGATATTATTATCCTTCCATTATATTATAGTAATCCTTATCAATTTCAAATAATATTTCTTCTAATATTTCCGTATTCACTCTAACACTTTAATTAAAAATCATAATTAAACCTATCTGGTGTTTTATAAGATTACAGAGATTTTAGAATTAATCTTTAAAACATAGGCAGAAAAAACAAAATATAAATATAAGTTTGCTAATACTTTGAATTATATAACTAAATTTCATAATGACGTACATTAATCATACTCCGTTATTTTAAGGAAATTTACAAATTTTTATCCAATTTAAGATATTGTCAAAAGTTAAATAATCAGAAATCTCCCTTTCTCTAATTTTTTGATTAAAAAATATTTATAAGTTAACCTAAATTGCAATTGATTTTCTTATTGTCCTTTGTTAGTCTAATAAAATTATTATCTGTACATAATTATAATTTTTCAAAGATAAATGAAATGTATTAAAGAATATGATAATAGCGCAATCATCCATAGATATATATGAGCTATGCTAAATATTTGAAAATTTAACAATATATCTATCATTATATGTAATTATATGGTTGATTTTACAAGATAAATTTTGATTTGGAAATAAATGTCGAATAATATTGAATAAATTCTACCTAATATATGTATAACATGCTTTAATCTATCTGAAAAGCAAGAAAATATATAATAGTAAGACTTAGCTTTTTAGAATTATTCTGTTCTATTATGAATGAGATTTCTGTAATTTATTCTAATCAACTTTAATTTTAGTTTTTTTGGAAGGATTATAATTTCTGATAGGAGCTTTAATACACTAATATTAGTATCGAGTTGGGTAATAGAAATATTTGCTTTATGAATTGAATGTTTTTAAATTTCGCATCTTGAGGATCAAGATCAAATTTCGTAGAATAGATTATTCTGATACAATTCGATAAAATTCAAAATTCTATTACTTTATACTTTATAACATGATTATGAGTTAACTTTTAAATTTTTTTATCATGAGACCCCTCGTAATCTTCTAAACTATTCTTTACAATTGCATTTATACTGATTGAACCAAATTAATTTTACAAAATAGAAAATTTTTTTAGAATAGAATATCTTTATCTTTGATTTGAACATGAAAACCAATAAGTATACATTCATGTTTAATGAAAAAACTTCTCTTGATTAAAATTTTCATCATACTTTATCTCTAAAAGGCTTATTTTTAATATAAATTTTTCAATCTGATGAAAATTAGCTAGCATTTGAAAGTTTTATCAAATTGATTACTTTCGAAACATCAAATATTTCATAAGCTTTTTTTTATGTTATACACCTAACATATTTAGTTTCAAAATTTTCTCATAGGAACTGTATGGATGTTATTAATACTAAATTAATAATAAATTGTTAGATTTTTATGTGTTTTTATTTTTATATTAATTTTGTGTTGTAATTAATATTATTAAATTTTATTCTATTTACCCATTTTAAATTTGAAACCAAAGTGAATTGAATGAAGTTCAATAATTTTGAATATTGATATCAATGATGTCAGGTTTATAGTTCGAAATAAAATGAAAAATAAGAGGGAGCGCAAATCGAATATTTTGTCTATCAAGACTTATAAAACTTGATTAAGCTATTATATTCAAAATAAGCTGTACCAGAACATTTTCATTATATCTGAATAATCAAAGGTTACTTTGAGTGATAACAAAATTAAATTTATCAGATGGAACCCATCAAGATTTGCAATTACAATATTCAAATAACCTTTATTTATCATCTAAATTACAACAGGAATGAAATAATGCTTTATAGACATTCAAGAATTTAGCTTCGTTGTTTGAAAATCAACTTAATCCTGTCAACTAAAATTAAGAACTTGTTAATGATCCAATTAGATTATATTTAAAGCAGTACATAAGCAAATATGAATTGGGTTAATTTGAAAAGAATCAGTTTGAATTATTGAAAATTGATCTTGAATGTTAATTTAATTAGTAGGTTTGTCAAAGTTATTTCTTCAATACAAACTGTTGATGCATAGATAAATTAAATAAGATAGGATGGCAGCTAAAAACCAACCTAGGAATAGATTATTTAAAGAGCAGAGTAATAGTCTATTTAATTTTAGATAATATAAGTAAATGACGAAAACTAAGTTGATTTCTTAGACTAATTTAGCAATTTAAAATTACAAATAAGAAATAATAAACCAAAATGATTATTCCTTAGAGAATGCAACTCGATAATAATAAACATCCTCAAATTCTTAATAAGTAAAGTAATCAATATAATCAAATATTAATGTTTAATAAGGGAAATTATTAGAATTTATATAATTCTTAGAAAATTATAAATAAACAGGAACTCAATCTTTATTTCATAGTGAAGCAGAAAAGTTATTTATTCAAGCAAAAAATTTCTAAGCATTTGGTAATAATTAAAGTATATTTGAAAATTTTTTGAAATTTAGTTATCATAATTTCAACATCTTTTACAGCTTTAGATCATATTATTTTATTTCTTTGTATTGTTTCTTGAGTACTTTTACAATAATAGATATCATCAATATTATGAGCCCTTCAATATGATTGAAGAAATAAGCTATAATAGTAAAAGTAAAGAAATAATTGATTTTTAATATTTAGTAAATCAAAAAGATTAAAAAGATATTTGGCTTAAAAGATTGAAATTAATAATCGACAAGAGCCTTATGATCATTAAAGAATTTTAGAGCTAGACTATACTTGGAGTATGTATAATGGATTTGTAACTCTTATCAGGTTAAAAGGAATTGAAGGATTAGGATATGTTTAGAATATAAATTCAAAAACTAATAAATTTTAAAGAATGTATATATATTTTTCTTGATATTTTTTAGTTTTATTTAAAAAATTGTATGAACAGTTAGACTGACAAAATCTCTAAATTATATTATAAAAAATGTTGCACACCATGTACATTTTTTTAAGATTATGATATTGTATACAAATGAGTTATTCCTTGATAAATTTTGACAATGTGTCCTTATGATTAATCTGAAAAAGACTATAATTATGATTCATAATAAAAATGATTAGAGGTGCTCATATAG